ACAGGTGTGTGTGTGTGTGTGTGTGTGTGTGTGTGTGTGTGTGTGTGTGTGTGTGTTTGTGTGCGCCCGCTCAAGGGGTCCAAGAGGTTCCACATCTCTTTGTGACCATCTTGGCGAGTGTACTTTTCCCAGTTTTCCAGCAGAGGGCAGCAAAGTGCCCTGGGGATAGGCCCTTGAGTTTAACCTCCTCACAGAGTGCTGTGGACACTGGAGGGCCCAGCCTGGCACACAGCAGACCAGGGGCAGGGCACTGTCTCCCTGGCTTCACTGGAGGCCCAGAAACAAAGAGTGACACAGAGTCATTCAGATGCAAAGACAGGGCTGTGACACACAGTTGTTCTGGTTAGAACTTGGGCGATTCTTTTTCCTGAGTATTTCGTTATCCGGATTGTTTAAGGCTGTTTGCTGGGAATAGTGGAAGTCTGAGCTCTCTCTCTAGAACCAGCCCTGTGGCCTGCCCTGCTCTGCAGGGAGAAGGCGGCAGCTCAAGTTCTGAGGATGAAGCCCAGGTGCCCTGGCCAGCGCTGTTAGAGAAACAGCCAAGAATGGCTGCCTGCACCCACCTATGAGAGGGACTGATGAGAGAGATCAGCTAGGCTGAAAAGCCTGGGAAAGGGGAAGAGAATGAGGAGGGGAAGGCCAGCTGAGGGCATTTCCTCAGGAACAGAGCCCATCTGCAGAAGCCACCAGAGAATTTCACCAGGGCTGGCTTCCTCCTTCCAGCACGGGAGAAGAAAGAGCGGGCTGCCCTCAGGCTGGGCTCCTAAAGCGAGGCCCAGCAGGACAGAGGGAAGCTGGGGGCAGCTCTTCCTCACAACCAAATGGGCTCAGATGATAGCATTCACTCTATGGTGAGGGTGCTTGCTTATCTTTTGCTATACGTCCTACAGATGTCCTACACACAGGTATACGACGACACGCGCATGGTGTCACAGTTTCAGTGATGCGGGACTCTATGCGACTATCTTGGCCCCTGGCACCAGGGATGCACCAGGCTGCAGTGAAGGTGCTGGCAGGGACTGGGGCTCACCTGTGGTTTAATTAGGGGCCACCCCTTACATTCACGCTTACACTGCCATGGATAGCATTGGGTCCCGTGCAACTGCAGGGCTACTGATTCCTCTTTTCTTCTCAGTATTGACACAAGGTCTTTGCAGGTTGTCTGCTGGAGGCTTTGTGCTCCTAAAGGCTGGCCACAGGTCTAACCTCATGGAGCACCCTAACAAGGCCATTACCTCCTCCATTCGAGCCAGGGACAGAAAAACACTGGCATGTGGGGTCTACCCTCATCTGTGCTATAGTCACCTAATACACATGCCCTGTTACTTTTCAAAGCAAGTCACAATTCTTGCCTGTATTCATGGGTAAACAGTCACAAAAGGGCTTGAACACTCTGAGACAGGGATAGTGAGATTCATCCTTGGGCTCTTTCTGCCACAGTTCTGCAAGAAGCACAGGTGGAAATCAGAACCGTCTGTGCTTTCACCTGTAGGTCACACAGATGAGGTGTCCTAGCTGGTCATAGAGCTTGTTCTGAAAAGACAGGAGGAAGGAATAAGGACACCTTACAGAGGAGGAGGCTGGAGATTTCCTGATGGACACCTGGGAGGAGAGTGGGGAGGAGCCTTGCAAAAGCTTGGTGCATCAGAACAATACCAAGGAATCTCTGGGATGGAAGCACTCATGCCTTCAGCACCTTCAGGAGCCCCAGAAACACTGGCCATCATCGAGAATCCAGCAAATAACTAATGCTGGGGTTTTTGTGGAAAAAGAAACTTCTACACCGTAGGTGGGATCATCCACTAGTACAGTCACTACGGAAATCAGTGGAGACTCCTCGGAAAACTAAAACTGGGAATTCCATTTAGCCCAGCTATTCCCCTTTCATGTGTCTTCCCAAAAGAGTTAAAGACTTGGGCTGGGGATTTAGCTCAGCGGCATAAGCACCTGCCTTGCAAGCAGGCAGTTGTGAGTTTGATCCCTGGTACCGATAAAAACAAAAAAGACAAAAAAAAAAAAAAAAGAGTTAAAAACTGATTACAGTGTGACATGTATACCCATGTTGATAAAAGCACAATTCATTATAACAAAATCCTGGAAGAAGCATATATGTTCACCAACAGATGAATGTATAAAGAAACTATAATACACATGATGGGGTACTTCTCTGCCATAAAGAAGGATAAACGAGTCATTTGTGGGAAAATGGATGCACCCTGAGACCATAATATTAAGTGAAATAAATCAGACACACAAGCTTAAATATGGCTGGTTACATGAGACACCCAAAATATAAATAAAGAATAAAATATAAGGCAGACAATAGGAAGGAGGGAGACAGACCTGGTTCCAATGGAAGGCAATGGAGACAGAGGGAGGGGGAGGGAAAAGAGGAACAGAGGATGAAAAAGAGTGAGGACTGCGTGTGTGCGTGTGCCATCTCCCCACATGGAATGAGGTCCTCGTGCGCTGCAAGTGTGGACTAATGAAAAATAAGATAAAAGTGCCTCCACTCCACAGCGGGGAATCAGTGTAAAGGCCAGGAACTCCTCACCTCCCTGGGGCCATCACCCAGTAAATAAACACAGAGACTGTGGGAGTTGTTGCTTGAGTAATTCAGTGATTCCATTACTAAGTTATTGGCAGTGCCTATAGCTGTGTGCTTATCTCCTAAGTTGGCAGGGGATCTGCAGTCACCCCACTTGGAAAGGCAGCTTGTGTCCCAGGCCTAAGGGCAGGAATGCAGTCAGGTTGGGTCCCTGTCCCCAGAGAGGATTTGTTAGGGAAAGAAGCTGGGCATTTCCTTGATCGCCCTCCCTGGCCCTTCTGCAGGCCTCCAGGGTGGCAGCGAGAAGGCCGTGTGCCGGGCCTTGAGCCCTGCCTTAGACTTGTTCTTATTTTCAGGCCACAAATAGTAAAAGCCAGGTTATATGAGAAGCTCAGCATCTTGACTCCTGTATATACGTTTCACCCATCTGACTATGTAAAAGAATTTGCTGCTCAGCCCTGCAAGCTGCACGCATCCTTATGTTAAGTCTCAGTAGCATCAATGTCCCCATCCTTGTGGTTGTACTTCATAGTGTTAAACAGTAAACTGTGATGCTACACAACTTAGAGGGATATATTTGATTCATCAATTAAGGAGCTCCAAGCCAGAAGTGGCTCAGAGAACCCACTGAGAAATATGGGATTCAGTCACTTAGGTAAAGCAAAGAATATATCCAGTTCCAATCACCCTTGGCTTAGCCCACTGGAAAGTCCCCAGGGGTGTAACTCTTTGGCTACTCTCAATGGTTGATCTGTGGTCCCATTTGTCTTGATACTGGCCCTCCTCTCAACTCCAGTAGATATATTTCAAGACCTCCACTGGCGCCTCCAACCTCAGGTAACACCAAACTCCACGCAGGCTATGCTGTGTCTTCTAGTACACACCCATGCAACATTTAACCAATAAAGCAGACAGAGAAAAAGATTAAGAACAAACACTGAGAACAAAATAGAACAAGTAGAGCATGGTCACTCTCCTGCCACAAGGTAGGTGGTACGCATTGCACAGACAGATACAAGGGCGATCTGTACCTCTCAGAACCCCGACCTCTCACCACACTGCCCAAGACAGCGTGCAAAGCCTCTGAAGCATTCATTTCTGTAATTACCCCTCACCATTTTCAGGCCACAGTAGTCGAGAAGGCATCTGAATCATGGAGGATATAGATTGGATATTTGCAAAATGGCTCAAGTTAAGTTTCAATCATGTTTCCAAATCAAGCCAGGCTTACATCACTTAGGAAGTCCAGCTGGTTTTGTCCACTGAGGGCTGCTTCAGGCCTGGTCAGCATTTTAATTGACTTTAATGGCAACTTTCACGTTGCATACACTGGCAGTCTCTCAGCACCTCTCTTGATACTCCTATCCCCGCTTGGTCAGCCCTCTGTGTCATTCTTTCTCTGCTCCCTCCATCCACAGCAAGTGAGTCTAATTTTATCTTAATGTGTTTGGCATGTTCATTTGAGAGTTACTTCATAAGAGCCTTTTCCATACTACTAATGTAATCACTACTTCCAAAAGTCTATGACTCTTTTCTCCTTAGAAAGAATCTGTAACAAGCCAATTGTGGTGGTCACACACCTGTCATCCCAGCTTACTCAGGAGGCTGAGGCAGGAGGAATAGAAGTTTGAACACAGCATGAGAAACTTTGCAACTTAGCAAGATCCTGTATAGACTTTTTTAAAATGGAAGAGTTGGGAACATAGCTCAATGTCAAAGCCCTGAGTTCAGTCATACACACACACACACACACACACACACACACACACACACACACGCACACACGCACACATGCACACATAGATTTGGAGGCTGGAGAGATATTTAGAACTAACAGGTGAGCAGCGAGCTCCCCCATGCTCTTCAGTTACTAAATGCCTGGCTGTCAGCAGACTCCCAGAAGACATCTGAGTGCCTCCTACTTTGTGAGCTTCTTAATAACTTGGGACAGGGAGTGTGGGGAACTAGGCCACCCCCAGACCATACCCTGAAACAGACGAAGCCCCAAAGTCTCTCTGCAGCCAAAATCACCAGGACCCCTCACAAAGGGCAAGGATGCCCCAATCAATGCAAGAGAACATGAGTTTAGAGTGCATGTAGAAAACTCATACGCAGACTATTTTAGAATTCTCCCCAATTCAAATTTAACATTATTATTAATGTCTACTTTGCATAAAGTGTGCACTTTTTCTAGGCTCTTTATTCACTCTCTTACATTCTTGAAGGCACCATTGAGTAGAATTATTACACTGCCCCATTCAATAGATAAGAAACATCAGGTTACAGGAAACACCTGACTCACCCACGTCTACATGGGAAGAGGGGAGATGGATTCTAACCAGGATCATAGGTCTCTTTCTATTGCATGATACTTTTTCAGACCTCAAAATTCAGAAAGAGGAAGCAAAGGTGTTTTCCATTTAACTGTCTACAGCTCCCACTGAATCCACATCCTGTGTCACCATAAGTGCTTCTCTGAGGAAGTCACAGGAAGTCTCAGTGCCTAGAAGGAGAAGCCTCAGGAGGTTCTGGCTGGGAGCTCTGCCGCAAGCACTGGCCATCAGCCACGACCCGCAGGCCCAGACTGGGACAGCTACCTGGAACAGGTTTGAAGCATTACTTTATGGGGAGGCTTTGGACTTTTGGAGTGACAGCCCAGGGACTTGATTGCTATCCTGCCTCTGTCCCTGAGCGCGTGATGCCTTGGCAGGTCAGGGTCCGTCCCCGGGCCTCAGCTTACTCATTGTCAAATAGGAAAAAAGCGAATGAAAATGTTCCTGGGTTTCCCTGAAGACCTGGGTGATGACTGCCTTCTGTATTGCCCTGGTGTGTCACCAAGGACCTAAGGGTAACGTCATCAGCCTGCACTTGGGACCCCAAGGTTCTGCTCTACGCGTGTGACAGGAGACTGTGGGTGTCCGGCCAGAGGACTGAGCGCTAGTGTCACGCAGTGCAGCCCTGCTGTGCTCTGGGACCCACACAGGGAGGTGGAGTGCAGGGGGCAGGGACAGGAGATCAAAGTCAGAGCTTCGGGAGGGAGAGCCAGATGAGGAGGTCGGGCTGCCGTGCAGGTTGTGTGAGCTTTCACCTCCAAAGCATGAGGTTCTCCGAGCATCTGCTGTTCTCTCCCAGGTGAATGCTTCCTGTCCACACTCGGTCCCTGCAACCATGTCATCTCTCCCAACATCATCAACATCATGCCACTACACCTCAAAACCCAGGGGGCTCCCGCGGGCTTCGTTCCAAAGGACACCCTCACCCTGGGAGAAGATGATGGATGCACTAACCCGAAGGAACACAGACCCCAGGAGGCTCTGAAGATGGAAGCCACAATCCTGGGGGTAAGTCCTCCTCCCCATCCCCTTGTGTAGATTGCAGGTCCACTACGGGTTCAGAGCTCTCCCTACTCCTAGCTGATGCTAGACTCTCTCCATGTGACTAATGTTGGACACCCAAGGGTCCCACATTATCACCCCTCATTTGCATGGCTTCATTTTTCCGTGAGGCTCTGAGTGCCCCTTTTGAGATCAGCCTCTATTCCTTCCCACATCAAAACCTCCCCACTGTGCCTTGTGGGATTCAGAGCCCATGAACAGCAGGAACTCTTTATCCCACATCTTTTCCCTCCACAACCCCAGTCTACACATGTTAAGTGTAGCTCCTGTGAGCACAGATGCAAAACTGTATTCTCTTTACATCTCATGATATTTTCAGAGTTTTCTTTTCTTTCTTTCTCACATCCTTACATACTTCCATTTCAGAAACTCATGTTAACCATCCTATTATCTCCTACTCTGAGAAGCTGAAACAGTAACTAAGATAAACCGGGTGTGGTGGCACATGCCTATAATCCCAGCACTCAGGAGGCTGAGGCAGGAGGATCATTGCAAGCTGGAAACCAGCCTGGGCTACAAAGTGAGCTCAAGGCCAGCCTGAACTGCATAACAAGACCTTGTCTCAAAAATACAAAAAAAATGTAACTAAGGTAATGTACAGTAGACATTGTAAGATGGAAAAGAAACCATTCGAAGGAAAGAGAAATTGGGATGGGAGAAAGGAGAAAGATGGAAAGGAAAAGCATATATATATATATATATATATATATATATATATATATATATAAAATAGTTAAGATAGTTATACTACTAATTGCTATTAGGTCATTGAAAAGTTTTGTGCCTATATTGTTTGATCAATTTTTCATGCCTGACTCTGGTTCTATGATTAACTATTTTGACAATAACAATACACAATGTACTAACCAATGCCACTCTCCTACAATCTTGTTTTGAAATTTTGTACCATTGTCTTCATTGGTTTCTTTTCTTTAAAGAACAAATACAGAGAACAAAAAAGGAAAGAAAGAAACTCATGTCACCCCACTAAGTAATTCATTCACTCCTTTGTATCACCTGCCTTTCAACCTTGCCCTTAGCTCACTCGACCCTCCAGGCAAGTTCCCATCCTAAGTCAGGGGTGGCTCAGTGCCATGTGGTGGTGAACCTCCCACCATTGAGTCCTCTCTGTCCTGCGACCTCCAGGCCTCACCATCTCTGTCTACCTATCCTGAGAGAGGTCACACCTCAGAGTCTGCCCTAAGCCATGCAGTGCCAGTAGCAAGGAAGCCTGCTGTTGACTTGGTTCCAGCTCATGCTTCAGCACCAGCTCTACACTCCCTGGGTCATGCTTGTGACTCCTGGTCTGCTCCTCCTTTAACTTTCCTGAGCTGCAGTGAGGACCTCACTTCTCCAGAGACCTTATCTCCACAGGCTCACTTCCACCCTGCCCAGCTTTGGGCCCCAGTGTTCCAGGGCCCGTGAGCTCGATCACGAGCCTGGCCCTTGCTCCTGGCCACACACTCTTCCAAGCAGACCCGTTGGCTTAATGCTCACTCTCTGCCCCTCTGCCCCCTCCATGCCTGTATCTGAGCAGCTGACCCTTGCTGAACATACACACACACACACACACACACACACACACACACACACACACATGCACACACCCCTCTTGAGATTTATGACCATAGCTTCACACAGACTGTTACTCTTGCCTCAACAAAATGCTGTTTCTTTCACCAATTTACTCTACGACCACCCCAGAAAACCACTTCACATTGACAATCTTGCTTCCTGAAACACTGAGCACACTGGGGTGATCGCCTGGGGTGATTACCTGAGTCTGTGCTCAGATGTTTACTCCCCACTCCATTACCGAGGATGAAGTGCCTATCGTCCTATTAGGGATAACTTTCCCTAATAGAAAGTTTTCCCTAACAGAAGAAGCCATGAGAGCTCCAGTGAGCGCCCTGCTCTCTGCAGACTTATGACCAGCTCTGTGAGCCCAGGATCTCATGGCAATTCCTCCCAGAGACAAAAATGAACATTTACAGGGTCCCGATTCCTCCAGCTAACCCCCACCTGTCTTCTAGCCACACTCCCCTGGAGAGTAGGAAGTCGTGCCTCTCATTTCTCTCCAGGAACATTCTGTCTTGAATCATATCCAGGGACACTTGTCCTCTTTGCTGCACATTAAAAGCTAATTTCCAGGGCTCCACTACCAGCTTGCCTGAACCAGTACAACTCTTCCAGTCAGCTGACCACTCTCTCCTACTCGAAGCACTTTATGCTTTTGACTTTTTAGGCTTTTCTGGTTTTTTTTCTCCTTGGCAGTCCTTTTACTGTTTTCTTTTTGTTTCTCTGTTCCTAAACTCAAAGCTCCCCAGGATCACCCTTTCCATCTCTTTTGTATTCCCTCTCTGTATCTGCTCCAATGGCCTTTCACTCACAGGGCTTTACGCATCATCTTTCACCTGAAACTTGGAAAAAAATGAACTCTAGCCTTGGCACAGATCTACCCTCCGGAGGCAGACTCAGAAGTTCAGCCTGCCATGTAGATCTTCCCTCAGATGTCCCCTAAGCCTCGCTCCTGGACACACCCCAGACTTGGAATCTTGATCTTCCCCCAAGGATTCCCCTGCCAAGGCCTCTACCAACTCGCTCATTTCAGCTGCTCAGGCCGACACCCTGGCAGCAACTTTCCTGTCTTTCTGCATCCCAAAATTCCTGTGGGTTTCATCTTCCCAGTACCTCTAGAACCTAACTCCTCCATTTCTACTGTCAGTTACTCTCCCCTCCGGGTCAGTGCCACCTCCCCAAGAGTTACCGCAGTGCCCTCCTCACTGATCACGGATTGCCCAGCTCTGCCCAAGCCCATCTTACTGCAGCAGGTGAAGAACCACACTGCATCTTGTGATCTTTTTGCTTGAAATTACCCAACGGGCTGCACCTGTGTGCCCAGAAAGAAAAGCAGAGTTGAACAAAAGTGAAGCTTTGCAGCCCTGCACTGTCTGTGCCATCCTGTTCGTGTTTCCTGGGCCTCTTTGCTCCTAAACCCATTCCGCTTCCCATGAAACCTAACTTTAAAAGGCACAGCGTTGCAAACTCTGCCATGGTCATGTCTGGCACAGGTAAGTGTTTAAGAAATACTCACAGTCAGAGTGGCCAACCTAGCTTTGTCTTTCCCGTGTCTGTATCATCTTTAGGGCAGAAGCACACACTAAACTGTGAGTGTGGGTTGGTCTCTCAGTCAAACTCCCAGAGCTAAGATCCCAGCCTTCCACCTGGCATTCATGCAGAATGGACAAATTAACTTCCCATACTGTGTTTGCTTCATCTGTAAAAAGGACAGGAGGAATCGTGCATAGGATACAGAAATCACCCAACAACACATGTAATCCGTGGTAAAAGTGGGTAATACGATAATAACCACTGCTACTAAATTAGATGATGAGTGAAGGAGGATGACGGGCAGCTATTGATACCTGCTTTTCTATTTGATATCTGCTGAATCTAAGCCCATTGGGAATGCCCTCTGGATGAGTCGCATCTCTGCATTCATCGAACTTGACCACTGTCCAGGCAACTTTCTCCATCTGCTTTTCAAAGAAACAAACTAAAGTGATTTTTCCAAATAGTTTTTCAAATTAAATGTGCTTACATTCACTTTCTGATTTGTTGGTTTAACATTATAGGCAAGAGGTGGGTTATATGTTGTTGTCTCTCATGACAGGCACACTAGCCATGGAGGACTGACAGCCCCAAGCACCAAGCAAAGAAGACCTAAAACTTTAAAATCACTATGTGATTTTTTTTCTTTTCAGTCTTGGGGATGGAACCCAGAGCCTTTGCACTGAGCTACACTGCCAGTAAAAATAAAAACTTTATTTTTTATGTTGAGATAGGGTCTCAATAAATTGCTAAGTTGCCCAGGCTGGCCTGGAACTTGCCATCTGTGGGCCTCAGCCTCTCAGAGCACCAGGATTAAGGTGTGGCCCTGCGGCACAAGGCTCAGTGATATTCTTGGTGGCTTTGTTCAGTGGCTGGTGGACTCCCGGGGTGACTGTGGGAGAAGGGCGCGGCACAATGCCGACTCCTCCATCCCCCATATTCAGTCCAATCTAAACTCATCTGAGTCGGGCCTTGCAGGAGCCCGTGCAGCCTGCCGAGGGCCACGCCATACAGTCACTGCTAACACTGACACACGGCGAAGCAGCTGGAAGGTTTCTTATTATCAAATTTGGGCCTGTGTTATGTCATAAATAATTTAATAAGTAAAATATAAAAACAAAGGAACATTCACTCTGTTACATATTCTACATGCAACCCACAACAGTCCCTTTGCACCAAAGCAGCTTCGTGTTGCCCTTTCTTCTGAAATGTGAAAACCTACAGCCTCTTTTGTCCTCTTTCCTGAGCTGCACTCAGGAAACGCCTCAGCGTCCTCTGTCTCCTCCAGGTGGTCCAGATTCTGTGTGGCCTGGCGGTCTCAGCCATGGGCATCATCCTCGCGTCTGCTGCCTTCTCCTCCCGGCGCAGTCCGGTGGTCTCCAGCTCTGTGACATCTGGGTTCCCACTGGCAGGAGGCCTGAGTGTGAGTCATGGGCTCCTGGAGGGAACCGGCTATGCATGCACACCCAGCACTTAGTCACAGTGCCATGGTCCTATATCCCATCCTCCTTCCAGCAAGCTCTGCAGAGCGCCTCCTCTGCCCTGCATCCTGAGGGCCCCAGAAGGGCACTGGCTGGGCTGGCAAAAAGGCGATGCCCAGGGCACACCAGCCTGGCATCCTTTACCTGGCTTTGCATCAGCTCTCTAGAGAAATTTCCTGTCCCTCCCAAGGACTTTAAGAATAAGCCTCTGTGGCTTGGGGAGCCAGTGAGGACACCAGCCAGTGGTGCCCAGGGTCTGCAGACATTTAGATTAGCATCGATCTAGGAGTGCAGACAGTCTTGCTGTGTGCTCACAGGTAACCTGGGCACTTAACAATTTGCTTTTGTTGCCTGTCACCTACCATCTCACAAGAGAGGGCTCCAGGAGCCTTTTCTCCTGAGTGACTCTGGAAGCCTCACGTCTCCCTCAAAGGATTGGTTCTCTGCCATACTCAGCTATGCCAAGGAGGCCACAGTGCATATTCAGGGCCAATGGATTACACCAAGGCACCATGGCTTTGTGGATCAGACCCTGCATCAACTTAAACTACAACCAGGCGAGAAGGCCTTGTCCCACACACAACTGGTCCTTGACCTCTCCATGGAATCTATGGCTGTGGTCCCCACACGTCCTTAGGGAAGCTAGTGTCAGACCACCCTGTACCCAAGCCATGAACATGATCCAATAATCCCCACCCCGACACCCTCTCTCCTAGCTGGATCCCTAATACCACTGGGATGGAAGCCTGGCTTTGGGGATTTGTGCTGAAGACTCCCCATCTGATCCTCTCTTCCCAGTTTCCCCAAGCCCAGTCTTCCTTGGGCCGCCTCTGCCAGCACGCATTTCTGCACTGGGCTCCATCAGCCTCTCCCTGAGTGCTGCCTGGGTTGGCCCTGTCTTTTTATCCCTGCAAGTCGCCCGTCAGCCTCCCCTTCTCCACAGGCCTCTTTAGCAACTACAGATGCCCATTATAGTAAATTTAAACCTTCCAAGCATCCATTGTTCCTCAAAGTCAATGTCAGCCTCCAAGGGTGGATAGCAGGCCTCTCATCGGCATGGACCCACATGAGCCCTACAGTGACGGCACCCCCAAAACTTTTCACTGTTACTTTCTATTAAGTGATTGCAAGTGACACAGTGGCCCTATTTTCACATGACAACTCAGCTGACCATTCTCTCTTTTCCAAACAGTTTGCAATATCTGGCTCTCTCTCGATTATCTCTGGGAAAAAATCAACCAAGCCCTTGGTGAGTATGAGGACCCTCAAGTCACACTGGTTGGAATGAACAGAATGAGGTCATTCTTGCAGTTCAAAATTGCTGCCATACATTTTAAGGAAAGGAAGCTCCCAACAGGTTAGGGAGTCCAAGTTTTTCAGGCTGCCCCATCGGCAGAATCAAAGCAGAGTCCCACTCTCCCCTTCTGAAAGGGGGGCACTTGGGAACCACCTGCTAAGACCAGCGTGTGTGTGTATGTGTGTGTGTGTGTGTGTGTGTGTGTGTGTGTGTGTGTGTTTCCACATTTGGTGAGGAAACTGAAGCACACAGTGGCAGGAGCACCGATAGGTCCCTGGAGAGCCAGGGCAGGTGCCCAGGTTTCTGAGTCTGGAACTCTGACCCCATTCACTGAGCACAGGAGCTTCCTGAAACCCCGCCCCTGCTCCTGCGCCTGTCAATCATCAGAACACACCCAGCTGTGTCCATTGCTCTCAAGTGCCCACCCAGGGGTGGCCAGGCCCTCAGAGTCTTCCTCAGCCAGGGGGTGGCTGTCTCTTCAGTCCCCATGAGGCCAGGGTCAGGAGCAAGGGCATTCCTCCTACAGCATCTGAGGGAAGCCATGGCCCTGAAGGCGTGGTCACTTGTTACTGTGAGCGCAGGCCTCCACCTCTTACCTACTGCTGAGGGAAGCTGAAGCCAGGTGCTCTTCCCGTGAGCCAGCATTGCTCCTCACCTGACTGAAGTTCAATCCCTAGCAGATTAGAGGGGTGAGTCAGGGATGTGAGAGAGCGTCCAGCTTCTCCTGCTGGCTTCCAGCTGTTCTCACTGTTGCTTCTTTCTGTGAGATACCACAGATCAGATTTCCCAAAGGGGACCAAAGGCCACATTCTAGGGTCTATTGGGAAAATGCAGTGATGCTGAGCCCCTCAGGAAAATGAGGGCGATGGTGACAGTGGCCTACACAGCACAAACCCTGGGGCTGGTGCCAGAGTCAAGGGACCAGACTATCTCCCCAGGGGGAGCTGTCATGCATCCTCTTCCTCAAGAAATGTTTATGATGATAACAGGCAATGAACCCCACACTGAGGAGGGACACAGAGGTAACTGGTGTAAGCCGTGCCCACCAGGAGCATGCAGAATGGAAAGGGAAACAGACTCCAGGGAACACAGGCACAGAGAGGGCACGGAGGGGTGACAGCATCCTGACACTCTAGCGTGTGGTTTCCCTTCCAGGCCCAGAGCAGCCTGGTCTCTAGTGCAGTGAGCTCCGCTGCTGCCGGGGCAGGAGGCATCCTGCTCACCTACAGCCTGGTGGCCTTGGGGACTGCCGCTCCATCTCCGAGCCCCAAGCAGGACTGTCTGTCTTCAGTGCCTAATGCAGAATACTATTACTCCATCTACGAACTCAAGGACTGTCTCCTGGCTGACTTCAGCCTAACAGTGAGTAGCTGGGGTTGAGTGTCTGTCGGAGGAAGCCTTTTGTCTCCTCTTGGCATGATTCCTCCTTCTTCAGCAGTTTCTGCTTTAAGGCATGATTGTCTGCGGAAGCCAGGGAGGAACTGTGGTTAATGAAAAGAAATCTGTTAGCAGAGTTCGTGAGATGGGAGATGCATTGTACACTTTGACATATATACTGCTCATGTGTTATAGGGAATTTGAACCTGTACATAATATATCTTAATTCTTTTTTCCAATTCCCTTCCCTTATTACCCGTTTTTCCCTTTCAAAACTTTTCCTTTTCAAAACTTTCAAATCGTTTCAAAACTTTGTTTCTACTGTTTTTCTTCCATCTTTTTTTATATTTTTATCCCTAACCCCTCCCTTCTCTTCCTCCCCCACTTCCCTTGTTCTTCTTCTCATTTGAACATTTCCTTCCTATTTACCAATATATATTATCCATTTTGGTCCTTATTTGCCCTTTGGATTCCTCATGCAAGAAAAACAATATCATACTTAAACATGTGTCTAATTTATTTCACTTAAAATTATATTCTCAAAGTGCATTCATCTACCTAAAAATTTCGCAAGTTTATCCTTCTTTAAGGCAGTATAGTACTCCATAGTATATAAAACCACAAAAAATTTTAAAAATTGAAATGAAAATAATAGAATAGGAAAGTGCAAAGAAAATGTTAAAGGCAAAGGGATTTTAAACAACTTAAGAACATGCTGGGAAACTATAATTATAGTCTTTGAAATTAGAAATTGAGTAGATCAATTAGAAGTAGACTCAAAATATCTGAAGAAACAAATAATGATACACAGTTTTGGCTTGCCTAAATTAAAAAGAACACAATGCATTAAGAGAAAAAAATTTAAAATATGAGCAAGAGGCTAAAATAAATGAAAATGTCAATGATCTGAACAGGTTGAATGTGCATCTAACTTGAGTTCCAATGAGAGAGGGAGGGCGAGGGATAGGTATTAAAACAAATAATTGAGAGTTTTTCAGAGTTAAAGAAAGATATGAGATTTTGCACCGAAGCAATCTACTGAGACCTCTGCAAGATTAAAAAATAATCAAATCTATACTTTGAAATACCGCACTAGAGACAAAAGGGAAATAATGGTAGCAGTCAAAGATAAAAGGACATTGCACTTATCAGTCCTCCTGAGGTTTGGAGGTGACACAGCCATTCCTGTGCCCTTCCTCACTTAGAGGTCTGGAGGTAACACGGAGGAGGATCCATGCGATCTTCCCCACCCCACCCCCACGGCCTCCTACCAACACCCACGTCCCCACCTCAGGGCACACTCATCGTGATGCTTGCCTTCATGGGGTTGGAGCTCCTCATGGCTGCCTACACTTCGGTCTTCTGGTACAGACAGATCTGCTCTGCCAAGCCTGGGGTGAGTACACTGTTCTGTCACGTGGTGCCTGCTGTGTCTGCCCCATGTCTGAGAGCCGATGATCCAGGCCCAAAAAGTGGCACAAAGAAGAGTCAGTTATCAGTCATGAGATGCATGTATAATGAAAGAGTTAAAGAGTTAAATGAATGGGTTAAAGAGTCAAATGAATAGGTTGCCCCAGTCATTCGGCATCTACTGACGCTATGGGACAGGTGGTCCACGACAGACCTAAAGTAAGCTGGCTTTAGAAACCGCCTAGTCCAGCCCTTCATGAAAGAACTAGGGCTTGGGTGAGTTTACAAAGAGAATGAATGATGCAGATGGGTGGGCCACGGATAGGAACGTGGGACACACTTGTTCTTGCCATGAACACTTGCCTCCCAGGGAGAACTCTGCACCGAGTCCCCTTGCCAGGCTGATAAGGTTTTCCCAGGACTTGTGCATTCTGTTTATGGTTTCCTTATTTCATCGTAACTATCAATATTATCATTTTACAATGTTTTTACTTCTCCTAAAAGTTTGAACAAAAAAGAAAATCTTCATAGGGTTTGGGTGGACTATGATTCAGCTATGATCCTATTGGAAAAATAACAAAAGGATTACCAGGCTGGGGAATAGTATTTGTTTGAACTAACATTGCTGCAACTAGAGATTATGATAAAACTGCATGATGAGATATTACTGTGCAAAATTTGAGGGTGGGGTATATCAAAAATATGGACTCAAAATTCCCTCCAAGATCAAAGTTTAAAAGATACTTACAAATTTTATTTCTATTTTGAGTTTCTAATGTAAGAGAGGAACAAATTAAAAGACAGATAATAGGAAACAGAGAGACAGATCTTTTGCAAATGGGAAAGGGGTGCAGAGATACAGGAAGGGAGATGAAAAAGGAATTGAGATGCGTTATGTGCAGGTGGCAGCTCCACACAAGGGATATAATCGTTATGTGTGGCAAACATGGACTCAGACAAACACACTAACAAAATTTTTCTTTTCTAAGGTGTACTTTGCTTGCTTCCCATCACAAGATTACATCCAAGGTGTCAAGAAGTCTTCAAAGTCCTGGGTATGAGTTATACTTGGCCTGGAGAGAAAAGGAGAAACCCAGTGACTAGACTTCTCTAAACTTTAAGCTATTTAAAACACGGAAATAAACTTTGAAAAACAGAAGTTTCCATTTCATACTTTCAGTATGAATCACTTTGAATCACTTTATTGCTCTTGAAAATAATTTCCCAAAAGCACAGATCAGTAAAATTATATCGTTCACTTTCCCAGAATGGCCCTGAACTTCATTACCTTTTTTGGGTGCTACTGCGTCAGAAGAGAACCGTGAGGCTCTCCGTCCCTACTTCCCAATCACCTTCACACTCAAATTGTTTGCATGCAGACATGAAGAACTTGAAGAGCATTTTTAAGTGCTTTAAAAATATGTGACTCACTTCTGTCCTATTTAGTGACTTTATGCTTAAATACTTAGATTCAATAACTATAATTCACTGTGATGCTCCCCCATCCAAATTGTAGACCAATAAAACTACATATAGACATGGTCTCAACTTTATGACTGTATCAGGGAAACCAACACAGCCTACCTAATAAATGAGTCCCTGATACTGCTCCCTGAGACCAGCACTTGGGTCCCACCTAGGAGAAAAGTGAACCAAAGAAATGCACGTGTAGGTTTTTCACACGTACAAAAGTCATCATGGCTGTAGCACCCAAAAGAGCCCCTGGATGAAAACCTTCCAAGGCCTATAACAATGGTATGGTGAAATTGAACTTGTGGCAGATTCAGATGTTTGGTGCTGATTTATGTCCATACACTGCGTCAGCACTGCCTTCCCCGCAGAGCAGGTGGGGGTGCTCTAGAACTTCTAGGTTCTATGACTCAATGGCTGAGGTTCTGGAGTTCTAGTGCTGCAAAACACCCAGGAAGGGCGCTGCGAAAGACCCCATGTGACACTGCGGAGACTGGGACCATGGTTTTGGCCGCGGCAGCGTCCCCTCCATCCTCCTCCTGAGCGCTCTGCCACAAGCCATGCAGTCCCCGGTCCAGAAGAAACAGGTCATCCACGTGGCCGCGGTGCCCCCGGGCGCGCCTGTGCTGGCCGGTTTCCCTTACGCCCCCCACAACGCTCTGCTAGAGGTCCTGCGTGGGGAACCAGAAGTTTTGGGGGTAAGCACCCAGGCCGCGGACTTCAGGGAGGGGAGCCAAGTCCTTTCCTATCCTTCTCTGCGGAGAAGTGGAGAAGTTGTGCAGAGCCTTCCAGGGAGGGAGTGGATTCTCCTCTCACCTCTCACCTGCAATGTCCCCTGGGCCATGGAAGGCTTCTATGCCACTTGCTGCGGCAGGCATACTGGGTCACCAGCAGAGGAGCCCATGGTAGCCCGGGTCCCACTTCCAGTTGGCAGGGCGGAGGTGCACCCAGGCCCCACCCCGAGGTGCGAATGTCCACCCACCCATGCGGGGCTGTGTGGAGTCTGGAAGTTGGAGGAAGGGGAGGTGAAAGCAAGGCCTGCACCCCAGCTTTTCCCCTGCGCAGTCTTTGCGAACATCGCAGAACCTAAAGGAGCCCAACGCAAAAGCTCGCCCCAGTTGGGCCTTCAAGTCTGTGTCCTCCCTCACCCAAATTCCGCTGGATTGCATCTGTACCCAAAGTGCAGGCTTCTTTCCTGCCGCTGTGCCCCAGGCAATGCTAGGATCTGGTCGCTGCGCACCAGGCGATGCGGTCCAAGGACCCCGGCCGGCACACAGTGCAGGGCCAGAGAGAGGGGAGCCAGCGGGGAGCGGGGCAGGCCAGGGAGAGGAGGTCACAAGCACCAAAGCGCCCAGCATGTACGACCTGGCTCCTCACGATGGATGTGTTTACTGTGTGTCTCAAACACTTACTAGTAAAACAATTATAAATAAAAATTTAAAAGCAAAGTATGTGGGAGGATGCGCCCACGCTGTCTGCAAATGCTGTGCAGTTTAATAGAGAGAGCTCCAGCTGCAGCTGGGGAAGCAGGAAGTGAAGTTTGCAATCTCCGCCCCTGAGAAGGTGCTCAGTCTGTTTCCTTTCTTACTTACACTTTCAGATTCTCACACTAGAGAAACCATCCAGTGTTTACACACGTGAGTCTGATTTATTTCACGTAAAAGCATGTTCTCGAAGTGCATCCCTGTACCTACCAACGTCTCAAGTTTGCTTTTCTTTATGACTGAGTAGTTCTCACATCACATCTTCTTTCCCCATTCATCAGTGTACAGGCATTTGGGCTGCTAGAAAATCTTCTAATGGAAAGAACTAGGAAGGGGGAGGGGGAAAGGAAGGACAAGAAAGGGAAAAAATGAAAATAAAGCTTTTGTAAATAAGGAGGGGAAGAGGAGGTTGAAGGAAGGGGAAAGGAATGGGAAAAAGAAGCAAGATACAGCATGAACAGGCACACATTCTGTATGATGTATGCGATCATTGTGTATCTAACATGTATCAATAACCTTCATCCTTAGTTTCCAGTCCACACATGTAGCTAAGGATGTCTGTCAGAAGAGAGACTGGCAAGACCAGGGAGCACAGGAAGTAAAGGACAGGAGCAAAAGACTTAGATCCAGGGGTCTCGGGCAGAACTGAATGGGAAGAAGGACCATCTGGGGGGCCATCTGGCTGCGGGAGGAGGGCCACCTGGCTGCGGGAGGAGGACTTCAAGGGAGGGAAGGTGCACAGCGGAGCTGCCTGCGGTGACCGGATGTTCCTCTCCTCCTCACAGGCTGTCCAGATCCTGCTGGCGCTGGTCATTGTTAGCCTCGGGATTATACTTGCAGTCAATTCCTTTGTGTTCTCCCAAGCCTTTACCTTCATCGTGCTCTCCGCCTATCCACTTTGGGGACCCATCATCGTAAGTATCCTCCCTTAGGAACCTTCGAGAGGTGACCATGGAGAATGCTGTGAGCTGAGCCAAGTCCCAGGAAGGTGAATTCTGTACAAATGGCTCCCGCCCCCCAGCCAGGAGGCCAAAGGGCAGCAACAATGACTCAGCTTGGTTACTGCCTTCCTCATCCAGTAGCTGCCACAGCTCCTGGGAGCACAGAGTGTGGTGGCTCCAGGATCCTTCCATGGTGGCTACATCACTTGCTTCTCACCACCCATCCAAGAGAGTCAACGAGCAAATATCCTACTTTCATCTTTGCAAATAAGGAAAGGCAGTGGGCAAGGTCTTAAACACATCTATCTGGTGCTCTTGAATCACAGACTCATAGCTTAAGACTTTAAGATTATTTTAACTCCCATCTCAGCCTAGAGAAAATTGTGCCATTAGAGTAATAACAGAGCCATGAATACTATTTTCAGCAGAGCTATTTCTACCCAGTCCCAGAGCTTCAGTTCCTCATCTTGTGCCATATATTTAAGGGTAGACCCTGCAGAGCTGGTCACACACTCACCAAGAGTCCAAAGTGCTGAGTTTTATTTACTGTTTTTTTCTTGTAACTCAGAAAACTACTTGCGGGACTGAATGGAGATTTCATTGCAACACAGCGAAGCACATACACCTGTTAACTTCTGTCTCTTGTCATTTTCACAGTTTATTGTCACAGGATGCCTCACAGTAAAGGATAAAAACTCAAAAACACTGGTAAGTCCCTTTTGTGACTTCTGTGTAATTTGTAATCTCCTACTTGCAAATGTAAATACTTGCTCTGCATCATCTTTACGTGTGAAGCCTTTGATCCTAAGGTATCTCTCAGGAAATACATATCAGATTTGTAGGCCAGATTCCTGTTTGCCCATGCCACTCTCAGCCCTACCTTCTCACACCTTCTCCTATTTCCCTAGTGAGTAACTAAAAACAGTTGCTTAACTTCCGATCAGAAACCATTCTACATCTAAGTGTGTGTGTGTGTGTGTGTGTGTGTGTGTGTGTGTGCGTGTGCGTGTGTGTTACTGGATACCAACCAGGACTCTACATATGCTAGACAAGGACACTATCTCTGAGCTGTATCCTCTTCCCCCCTCTCCCAGAGAACTATGACCAAGGTCTATGACTGTCATAGCTAGGTGATATCAGCGTCTAGTGGGATAAAGCCGGGGATGTTTCTGAGCATGCAAAATGCACAAGAAAGCCTCCTACCACTTCCATAACGAAAGTATCTGACCAAAAATATCTATCGTGCCAAGGTTCAGAAACCGTGTTCCAACCAAAATTAGTCTCAAGAAGCCAGTAACTCTGCTCCCAATGCTAACGCCATTCCCTAAGTCCCAGCAGTGGCTGCACTTTGAGGCCAGCCCAAAGAGGAAAAAGGTGTGGGTACTGGTGCCACAGAGCTCTGGGTCAGGACCACCTCCCATGGCTATGTCATCATGATGGGAACAGCCCCTACTCCCAGAAGTCACTCTGAGAGCTTCATCTGACACTGGTTATAAAAAGACATGATGATACTTTCGTGGTCCTACTCCCTCCTGACTACTCTGATCTTGTGTAAATCCTGGAGATGTGGGCCTTCTCTCAAAGCCATCTCCACTCTGTTTTGGATAAGTCCCCTGTCCATTCCCTCTTATAAGTATTACAAGCCATAGACAATTTTTGAGGGGTGAATGCCCTGACTCCATTGTGAAAATAAATACCGATAACAGAATGCTGTTCTTTCTGTGTGGACTTCCATGCTCAAATGAAAAATAGACTAAGGTCAAGGCAAATGCATCTCTTACTGAGAGCCATGACAGTGGGGTGAGTAGGGGCTATGGATAGGGGGTGCTGACCTGGCTGTCAGAACCCTTGGATTTCCACAGTGGCTCACCCACAGCTGTGGAATTGCTCATAGCCACTGACTCCTGAAGCCCATGCACCTGTAAAACAGGGGTAAAAAGTGTCCTTCCTTAAATCACAGATCTGTAATAGGAGCAGAGGCAGAGCAGGTGGGGCGAGTTCTCTGAAAGGCACACTAGATACAAGGACTACCCCTCCGGGACCTTAACCCAGAAGGTGTCTTATGAGAGTCAAGACAACATCGGCTAAAATGCTTGCAGTGTAGATTTCAGTTTCAGGAAAACACTAAGTCACAAGTACATCTCCAGATGCTGCTACACTCAGCCAGGGCACTCCGGGAAGGATGGGCTGACTAAACATACTGTGTCATTTCCTGCCACAACACATGTAACCCACAGCAAATATCTGCTGACTTGAGACACTGGGGGTGGAGTTGTATGTTTTTCCTTTAAAGAGCAAGTCACTGCTAGGAATGGATATGAGGAAAAGAATGAAGTGGCCCTCTTCTTCTGAAAGAACCCAGACATATGTGCTCTTTCTCCTAAAGATAATGGAAAATCTGAACTCTATGGCTTCCCTGTGGAGAGCCTGAGACCAATAAAGGATGCCTTATAAGCCCATTCTAATCCTTTAGTATCTTCACACATGTCAGCAGTTCTGCTGGTTACTGTTTGAATCCTCCAAGGAACAAGTACAAAATCACAGAACAGCAGGAGGTTAATTTCCTGCTCATCTATGTTGCTGTTATTGTTGTTGCTGTTTTATTGTTTTATTGTTGCTGCTGCTGTTTTATCTCTGGAACCTAATGCAGCGCCTGGCACATATTTGGGGCATACTAAATAATTATGAAATAAATTAATACTATGCTACAGTAATGTTATTCTCATTTTTAAAGTTAGAAATTGAAATTCTAAGCGATAATTGGCACAAAGTTCTAGTGAAACCAGGACTCAAAAATTTTATAATTAAAAATTTATAATTTCCATTGATATTTCTAACACACCACACCAGATACAGACCCTGAGAGGATTTACTAATTAGAAATAAACATTTTCTTTAGCATCACCACTGAGTATTCTTGGGCCACTCTGAATCTTAGTTTGTTTTCTGACTTTAAGGAATCAGCACTTAACCTTTCTATCTTAGTAGCTTAATGGAGCACTAAGAATTTATTACAAGGCATTTTCTGTTTGGTTCAGTCTTAATTCATTCGACAATGTTTACAACCAATTTTCCAGAGGCGGTGTGTCACAACCATGAACATCATCAGCTCCCTGGCAGCAGCCACTGGGATAATTCTCATCATCATCAACTACACAGAAGCACACAAATTCTGCCAGAAGCTTCTCCTTATCTCACCATGTATTATAGGCAGAACACTTTTCCTCGTAAGTGATCCTATTTTGTACAAGGAATTTGCATAATAGTATCTGAACAGCATCCAGAACACAATGGTGCACTAATTTTTTTTTGTTTTTTGTGACACAGGGTCCCACTATGTAGTTCGGGTTGGCCTGTGTTTATATAGTCCAGGCTGGCCCCGAACTCACAGTGATCCTCCCACCTCAGCCTCCCAAGTGCTGGATTTACAAGACTGTAATACCTCACCCAGCCTGCTGCAATAATTTTTATTCTAATAACTGAAGCTCTGTTGACATTTGAAATGAACACAGAGAAGCACATTGTGGGATAATGGTGAAGAAAGTGCAGGAACCATAATCTTTGGATTTAAATCCTAGATTTGTCTCATAAACGTTTGTGACCTTGATTTGATGCTGTTAAACACAGGTTCAAAAGACTCCCCAAACCTCCAGCACATACCCCACCTACCGCTAATACTAACTCCACTGTTCCATTTCCCGGAACCCCTTCCCTCCCTGACATGGAATCTGCCTTGAAGGCTTCCAGCCCAGGGCTCTCTGGTTCTCTCCTCTCTGACTGACCCATCTTCACCTTTGTACTTAAAAGGTTAGGTCAATACCACTCAATTTAACCCCTCTGTATTCACCTCTAGGCTCAGTCAGATCCTCCCGCTATCATGGGGCACAACTCTTAATATTTCTTCCTAGAAGATATCACAATTTATTTAGGTGAATAATTATTTGTTACTGTCCGCCTCCTTTACTATGAGGTAAGCTCCATAGAGACCCATACCAGGTCTCCGTTGCTCAAGAACTGAAGCTAGTAAATTGCATACAGCAGTCTTTAGACATTTTGGTTTCTTCAACCAGTGGTGACTGTCATCACTTTTGGATAAATGGCAAGGGAACAAGATGCAGAAATAGTCACCTGCCCAAGGTTAAGTGTGACATTGCATCCAGTGGAGCCCAGCTTGATCTGTCTCCAGAGTTTAAGCTTTTTGGATACCATGCCACGCCATGCTGTGTCTTGTCTAAACCTCACCTTAACAGAGTATGCAGCTTGGAAAACTGCAGACCACATCTAACCTGCAGACACGTTCTGAGTGAGGAAGCTAGAAATTTTCACTTAAAAAAATAGGTATACCAGCTTCCCCCAGGAAATAATAAAATGAAATTGGGTATCCTGGTGCTCCTGTTCCCACATGGCCATGATGGACTGCCTCCTCTGAACACCACTCCTCGCACTCCAGGCACTGTCTCAGCCCCATGAACATTAGAGCTCATCACCCCTGCCTTCTGAGAAACACAGGAAACTCATGCAAGAATACAAGTTTTCCCAGATTTGATGGTATAGTGTAATAACTCCATGGCTTTTATCCTGAAGATGAAATCACTTTCATTTCATTTCTCCTTCCCATGTGCAGGGACTCTTGTCGATCTTGTTCATCATCAGTATCGTGGAGTTCAGCATCTCTGTGACTATCATATGCTTCAGAAGCACATCCTGGATACAGTCAGATGAGGTACATTCGATGTTGCAAGGATGGATTGCTTGAGGGTACTCCGATGAGACTTCTGGTCTGTCTGTGGACAGAATAGTATGTGACAGTGCTGAGCTAAGTCACAGGGAGCTGATCAGGGAAGGAAGCCCAACCCCAGCCTTTAGCACAACTGTGCTTTTCCATCTTGACCCTTAAGCTGTGCTTGGCCGCCTTCATTCAGACATAGGTCTTATCTCCCTGCAAAAATGTATAACACATCAGATTTACTGTGATGGGAAGAGCTTGTTCCGGGTGGTCAGTAGAGCATGAGCTGCTTTCCTCACCCGAGAGGAAGAGGAGAACATAGCACTGACAGTGGGGCTGAGTACGACTCCCAGTAAACACTACTGTTGTTACTTCACCGATGCGCACTGTGCCACACATGGTTCTGGTCATGGAGAACCAGCTTGATGCCAATATGGTAACGCTGTTAGGTTCCGTGTAAAGACACAAACATGCAGAGTTTAAACCAACTTGCTAGTGTTGTAAAGCACGAGGATTCTGACTCAGACAACAGAGCTCCAGGCTCTTCCCTCTAAATTACAGTATCTTCCCAGGCTCTGTGGTTTGGAGGGATGTTGTTTTGAGTTTTTAAAGATACACTTTAGAGAAGTATAATTTACTAACAATAACATGCACCCATTTTAAGTCTACCATTCACTTAGCCTTGACAAATTTCAAACACCTCTGTACCAAGAGACAGGGTGTGCTTATCAGTGCAAAAAGGTTCATCTTCTGAATTTTCACAGTCAGTGTATTGCTTACCTATATTAGGCCTCACTTTCCCAAATTCTGTGGACATCTAATCACAAATAAGAGCTTTCTATATCCTGCTTCTTTTACAAAAATCTGTTTTTGAGATTCACCTCTGCTGTTGCATCTATCAAAACCCATTCCCTTTATGCACAAGCACCCCACAGTTCCTATGTGTTTACCTCTTCATGAATATTTTAATAGCTTAAAGTTCTCAATGATAAGTTGCTAAGACATTTGCATTCACATCTACACAGAAAAGTATGACTTAAATTCTCTCAGTGTCATGCCCAAGATTTGATTGCAAGATTATGTAGCAAACGGATGTTTATAAGAAAGCATCTAATAATGGCTTTAAGTAACTGTCCCAGTTTCCATTCTGATTGGCAGGTTATGAGAGGTAGAGTTGCTCCCTATCATCAAGGACCCTTGACACTACCAGTTGTGTTACTTAGCAATTCTATGAGTGGGTGGCTGTATTTTATCATACAGTTTCAATTTACATGACCCTACTGACTATCAACAGTGAGACTAAAGCTTAAATTTACCATCCATTTGGGTATTTTCTTCGGGGATGTCTCTATTCAAATCTTTAACCGACTTGATAACTCCATTTTCCCACTTCCCTTTCTTGTGGTCCTAGGGGTGGTACCCAGGACTCTCACACTGATCAATATTCCCAGCCTTTCTGACTTTTTTCTTTTGAGACAGGGTCTCACTAAGTAGCTAAGTTGCCCATGTTGAGCTAGAATGTGTGATTCTCTTGCCTCAACCTCCTAGAGTGCTGAGATTATGGATGTGAGCCACCACACCCAGCTGGATTATTTATCTTCTTATTGAGTTATGAGAGTTTAATTTTGACTGTTTCTTAGTCCAAGTCCTGTTTTTCAGATATGTAGATTGTTACCATTTTCGTCAACCCACTGCTGGTCTTTCGTTTTCTTTTTTTCTTTTTTAAGGTTGCTAGTGCATATGAGTTACACAGAAACTGAGTTTGGTTTTGTTATATTGGTGCATACACATGACATATTTTGACTCACCACTCCCTTCCCTTCATACCCCCATCTCCCCGAATTCATTTCCTCAACTCTAACTGCTTTTAGACTCCACATATGAGGGAAGGAAAATAATGCTTGACTTTCTGAGTCTGGTTTATTTCACTTAGCAAAAGGCTTCCAGTCCCACTCTTCCCTGCAAATGATACATTTTTGTTCTACTTTATGGCTAATTAGTACCACCTTTCTTTATTCATTCATCTGTTTACAGGCAAATAGTCTGTTTTTACAGCTTAGCTGTTTGTGACCTCTACAAGATACAGGGGTATGCAAGTATCACTACAATTTTTTGTTTTTATTTCCATAGGGAATAAAACAAGAAATGGTATTGCTGGGTTAAATTTTTTGAGGAACCTCCATGCTGATGTTCAGAGTGACTCTGCTAGTGTATATCCCCCAGCACACAGAATAAAGAGGTTTCTCTGAATCTACATTCTCACCAGCATTTATTGTTTTTTGTATTTTAGATGATAACCATTCTGACTAGGATGAGCTGGATTCTCAATGCAGTTAGATCTGCATTTCCCTAACTGCTAAAATTGTGTCATATATTTATCTGCCATTTCTACTTCTTCAGAGAAGTGTCCGTTCAATGCATTTGCCCATTAGTTAATTAGGTTATCTGCTTTTTTTGTTTTTAATTCTTTATATATATTTTTATATTAATCCTCTATGGAAACAGCAGATGGCAAAGATCTCCCAATCTCCAGGCTTTTTACACTATTGATTATTTCTTGGCTATGCAGAAGCTTTTTAATTTGATGTAGTTCCATTTGTTGACTCTTGCTAACCCTTCTTCGTTTTCTTAACAATTTATTTCAAGTAACAAATATGATTAAGATCAATTTATTTTTAGGGATTTTTTGTGCTCTTAATGAAATTTTTCCCAAATCCTAAAGATAATAAAAATTTTCTTCTGTAGCTTTGTATAGCAATATTATAGGCTTTAGCTCTTACCTCTTGGTTTACGATGCATTTCAAGTTAACTTTTGTGTAGTTATGAGGTAAGGTTTCAATCAATGCAGTACCCTTCTGGAGATATCCAGTTGTTTTCATGCCATTTATTGACCTATTACCTTGCCAAATTTGTTGAAAATGACCACTTATTTAAAGGGTTCTTTGGGATACTTTATTTTATCCCACTGAGCAGAACATCTACATTTATACACTATCTTCTTTCGTATAGCTGGAGAATCATTCCTTTGAAGTCTGTGTGAAAGTCTCCCTGGCTCTGCAACTCTTGAATTTCCTATACCAATATAGCCAGCTTCATGTCAATGACTCCCAGGCCCTCTTGAACCATGGCTGAAGCAACCTCTGAGTCTCATAATTCCTGTATACAGTGACGTGAGTTATAGGAAACCAACTCCCAAGGCATTCCTTCTCAAGCTTTGGTCCCATGGGCTTGTCTTCTCAATTGAATGGCTAACACTTTTTCACCTTTGTGATGGGTGTTGCTGATTATTAAGATACTCTAGATAGCTTTGTTCTTATCCCTATACACAGTACTAAGTTCCATTTTGGTGGTACTAATCTCTTGAGTACTACTTTAGCCCCAGCTTTACCCATTGTACCTACTGGTCAAAAGTTTAAGATCTTTTGTTCTGTCCCCACCACCACCTCCATTCTCGCTACTAACTTGGCTAAAAGTAACTGCTAGTATATTTTCTGCAGGCTTAATGTTGGGCTGTCTTGAACTTTCCTCAACCAGATCAAGCTACCAACCTTAATGTCCGCCTCCTGCAAAGTCTTAGAACATAAGTCACACGTAGACAAATTTTCTTCCAGACTAGCACATAGGTCCTCTAGTCCAATTGCCAATAGAGTCCTTGCTTCCATCTGAAACTGCCTGAGCCTGGTCTTTATTGTCCATGTTATCATCACCATTCCAATCTGCTGAGCTCCTTGTATAGCGAAGAAGCTGTGTTATATGACTTCTTTAGACCACATCTCTTAAATATTTACAGTTTCCACAAACCAGTTCCAAACCTTCTGAACATATGGTCAGATACTATCACAACATTGATCCATTTGTCCAGTGCCGGTACTCTGTATTAGTAAGCATTCTGCTTACTGGAACATAATACCTGACACCCACAATTTAAAGGGAGAGAGACTTAATTTAGCTTAAAGTTTTCAGGAGACTAATCACTACATGGCTGGAAAGCTCCAAGGCAAGAACATCATGGTGGCAGAGCACAGAAAACCTGCAGTGTAGTTCACAAGAGCCAGAAATCAGAATAGGGTAGCAGCACCACAGAGGAACGAGTGAGGAACCAGATATAGTATCCAAGATAATGACTGTATATATTTCATGTATGCAGACATCCCCAGAAGTGTGCCCCCGTAATCACCTGGGCAGGTCCCAACCCAAACACTTGTTAGTTTTCATACATTTATTATAAATTCCCTAGAATTTCTAAATAGACAACTATTTCATCTGTGAATAGAGACTTTTACTTCCAAACTTTAGGTCTTATTTTTCTAACTTTAATTCAAAGTGTATTTTCCAACACAATATTTCACAGGGGTGCTGAGTACACCATACTTATTTTGTTCCTGATCTCAAGGTTAAAAAGTTGAATTCTGGATTTAGCTCAGCAGCATAAGCACCTGCCTTGCAAGCAGGCGGTCGTGAGTTCGATCCCCGGTACCGATAAAAATGAAAAAGACAAAAAAAAAAGTTGAATTTTTTACCCCAATATATAGCATTATCAAGAAGTTTTACACAGAGTAAACTTACTATCTTTTGCAGAGATTTTTTCTATCACAAATGAGTACTTACTTTATAATTTTTCACTACATGCTTATGTCTTTATTATGTTATCTGTAATATAAACTCATATGTCAATGTTTTGTTTGATCTTTAAGTCTCTTATTTCATATTAATTTTGGCATCAGGATGTATCCCTCTTCCTTTTTTCCAATTACCTGTGTTTTTAATTGGTTTCCTCTGTGTATCTCCAGTATTACTGCCCTCTGTTATCTGTATGTTATAATTAAACTACAGAAGTGTACAAAGCCCTGTCAAGCCCTTAGGAAGAATTTGGAAATAAATTACACTAAATCGTTATTCAACAGAGCACAATGAGTAGGGTTTTTAATCTATTACAGCACAGAAAAAATGCAACAGGGGATTCAAGGGCAGCATCACAGGACCTTGGATTGCAGGATAAGGAAAGGGAAAGAGAACTCTTAGTATTTCCTAAGAAATCTGTCAACCACTCTGCTTAAGAGCACCAGCTCTTATTATCTCCAGTCATAACCACTGTGCAAAGGTACTCTGGTAGTTATTATAAGGCATTAATCAGAGAGGAAAGCTCAGGACCTGGGACTCAACTTCAATGTATGAATCATAGCCTATAAGTTGACAACTCTGTTCCAGTTCCCTCTACTATAAAACCAGGATGATAACTCAGAGCAATTTGAAATAATTATGTGAGATGATTTTGATGATCATTGTCTACCACCTAATAACAGCTTAGGTATCATTAAGAAGGAAGAAATTTTAAATCATAGCAATTAAGAGCTTGAACTATGAGAGAAATTATAATTCGTGCCTCCCAGTATCTCAGAAATTAATGTTATAATTCTAATAAAACAAAAATTGGAAGACAAGTGAAAACCCAGACATTTCCCCAGTATACTAAGTATCCTCACACACATATCTCTAAGGGAGATAAAATATGTGTGAAAACAATTAGGAGGGTAGGCAATCACAATGTATAAGGTAGCTGTCCTTATCTTTACATATGCTGAAATTGAATGTAAGAGACTAAACTAATATCACTCTGAAGAGTGAATAATATTTTTGCTAGATTTTGTATCATAATCTTACAGAATTAGCACTGGGTTTCTTAGTGTCTCTTCTTCTTCAGAGTATCTGTTTGTTATATCATTCATTATATAATCTGTTCCTGTAAAGTGTGTAGAAATTCTCCCATGTGTGAACCGGTACATGTTATATACCCTTTCTGTATTATAGGGAAAAACAGATCATAACAAGACAAAAAAATTCTTAGAAAAACATGAAATGAAAAAGACATATAAAACCACATTATGAGGTGACCTACAGTATTACTGTGCTTTCTGTTATTTTCAATGGAGTTGTCCACATCATCAGACATATAATAACTGAACATAGCATTACATTGCTATTTTAATAAAAACACAACTTTGGAAACATTGTAAGACTTCAAAAGCATTAATAATCAAACCAGAATGGGTATGTTATTACATCATGTCATCTTCAGAGTGGTTGCCTCTACTCTTAGACTTGATATTATCAAGCATGCCAAATTCGAAAAAGATCAGTCAAGGCAAAATAGCAGTTTAACAAAACAGCTTCAAATAAGATCAGTCATAGTAAGACAATGTAAGTAATACAGGGCTTCGGTTTAAGTTAATAGGAAACAAAGGATAGTTACTGTGGTATAGCTTGCTATTTTGCGGATAGCTATCTATTCCCTCAAATCTAGAATGAGTAAACTGACCTGAACAAAATAAAATCGAACTAAGCAGAGTGATAAGATTGCTGTGGCTTTTAAACCCTGATAACATTATTAACAATGTCCTCTGCCTACCTTTTTTAGGCAATTCCTCAACTTTCCCTTCCTCAGGATACTTTGTATATTTTGGGTCCCACTAACTCCTTTAGTTTTTAGATTAAGGGGGCAACCCATTATCTATCTGAGTAGTGCTGAACTTTTTTACCTCTGAGCTTGATCTTGATCTGTACTCTTTTACTTACTAAAGCCACAAAGTTTTCCTTACTTCTATCTTGTAGTTCTACACTGCACAAAAGTGTCATAACTTTCCAACCTATCTGCAGCTGCTGGATGAGTTGTCCCTATTTCTCTCTGGTTTCCTGTTTCTCAGCTTCGTTTTCCCATCTTTGACTTTCAGTTTATTAACTTTCTTTCAGGTTGAATATATTTCCTATTCAGAGGACCTTGATGGATCCTGCCTCCTAATCCACTCTGCTTGTGTTTCTTTTTGTTAGTGTATCTATGCTATCTATGTTAAAAATTATAGCCCACCTTCTCTGCCTAAACTCTGCTATTCTATTTTTCTGCTATTGTTTGTCCATTTTTCTCCTTCATTCCACTGTCTTCCTTGTTCACTGAGGCCTCTCTGCCACTGTTGATGGAATCCTGGTATTTTTTTCCTCTCTGTCTCTCTCTCTCTCTGGAATTTTCTTCAGTATTTTCTGTAGGGTTGGGTTGGTGGCTATGAACTCCCACAGTTCCTCTTTGTCTTGGAAACATCTTGTTTCTCCATTAATTTTGAAAGAGAGATTTTTCAGGGTACATTAATCTTGGTTGGAGGTTATTTTCTTTCAGGGCTTAGACTATTTCTCCCCAGGCTCTAATCGATTTAATAGTTTGTGTTGATAAGTCTGTCATTTTTTCGATGATTTGTCCTTTGTAGGTGATCTGCTTCTTTTCTCTGCCCACTTTTAATACTCTATTCTTGTGGTGGATTTCTGGAATCTTGATTATTATATGTCTGGGTGTAGATCTGTTTTGGTTATAGTTGGCTGGAGTTCTGTATGTCTCATTTATCTGGATATCATTTATTTTTCCTATGCTTGGGAAGTTTTTCTTAATTATTTCTGTCAATAGTCTTTGTAATTCATTTGTGGTTACTCCTGCTTCTTCACTTACATTTTTTATTCTTAAGTTATAGATCCTCTTGTCGTCTTCTAGCCTTTGAATTGTTATCTCTTGGTTCCTTGTTATTTTTAATAGGTCTTTCTTTCACAATCACACATTGTAAATCTCTCCTCAAGTTTCAAAAGGTTAACTTTTGTTTCTGTCAAGGCATTTTGCCAGCTTCCAATGAAGTTTTTAGCTTCCTGGTAGTCTCTTTGGATCTGTTTCATGTATTCTAGATTTTGTTTATATTCATCACCAAAGGTTTCTCTTCCTTTTCTGGGTTCCTCCCTTTTTCCCTCTGTGTTTTCCTGAGAGGGGCTTAGCATTTCTTTAATTAACCTTTTTATTTCTTGTCTCACTTGGGTTAGAATTTCAGTTTTAAATTCATCTATGAAGTCACAAATGTATTTGTTTATGTCTGCTGATATTGTGGCTAACATTGCATGATCACTGGAGTGGTTCTCTTCTGTATTTACCTCTCCTGGGCTTATTTTCCCAGGGTCAGAAGCTGGAGATTTTGTCTTATCTTTTGCTCTTGTCATGTTTCTGTTTTCTCTCAGACAGATGTGTGGAGGAGGTCTCAGGCTGCCTCTGTATTCCTTACAGTTTTTCTAAAGCGTGCTGGCTGGGGGCTTGCTGCTCTCTCCAGTTTGCTGATATCTGAGGGGGACGCTGCAGGTTGGCCCCTCCCCTCTGAGGCAGTCAACCTGTGACTGCCTTCAACACATTACACTGTGCTGTGGCGGATGTCACAGGGTTGGACCAATTTTATCCCTGGCTATTGATTCCCAACCAGTGGCGTGGTTCAGCCCAAGCTGCTCCCACCAGTCCTCTCTGGGCCAGGGGCAGTTGACTGATGCCACTGTGGTGCTGGGCTCTGCCCTACTCCAAGACGTCTTCTAGTCAGCCTCCCATGTGACGGGACCAAATCCAGCACTCACTGAGAGCCAATAAAGCTCTCTACCTTGGCTCTACTCCACACTGCACCATGTCCTCCTGCCAAGGGCCCAGGACTCACCAACTCCCATTATCAGCAGCCACAGCTTGGGCACGACCTTGAATCATCCATCTCCACGGCGCACCCAGCACAGCATGGATCGGGTCTCATTGAGCATGTTGGGCTTCAGCCATTTACCCGTGCTTTTCCTTCCTCTTCCTAATTTTATTTTTCTTTTGGTTTCCTCCTGGGTTAGTGAGAATTGTTCTCCAATCATCTGGCCTTCTCCATGTTGTCAGATTCTAGCATCTTGGCTGTTTTCCCCAGAAAGGTTCTCTATTCAGCTTCCTAGCAAGCTGCCAATTTTTAATTCACACCTGTCTAAGGCAATTTTAACCAAATTGCCCTGTTCAACATTTGACATAATAAGGGGCAATGAATGTCCAATAGATCACCAAGGAGTCAATGGTAAATGTAGGACTTTTGATTGATTCCTTGTCCATGTGTTATTTTCTACCCATTATCTTAAGTCAGAATGAAAACTAATTTGATACTACAAGAAGCAAGCAGCATCAAAGATGATCCTATTGTGTTAATATTCCCCTCCCTCCCTGGTTTTGTAGGTTGTGTTTTTCCTGCCTTCGGATGTTACTAGAAGTCATGAGCAACCTACCTCAGAAGAAGGTGCTCAGCTACAGTTTTATCGTCAGAAAGACTTTTCTAGTTTTGATATACCACCAGAAGCAAAAGCTGTTTTCTTTGGAGGCTATGCTTTCTTCCAGTTAAGACACTCAAGAAGTCCTTCCAGCCAGGACAGGCCACAGCCATGGAAGGAAAGGGCTTCATTCTCTGCAAGTGAAAAACAGGAAAATATCTTTCCACGTGTTAAATTCTCAGATGAAAAACTTGAGCCAAAACCTATACCTTATACATCAGAAGCAAGGTCCCCAGAAAATGTAAATACTCACCAAGTCTCTACAACGAGACAACTGACAGATAAAGACCTACAGTACATTGTTTTACACAACCCCAAAGAACGAGCTCAAGAGATTCAGGGCCAGGACTTGCCACTGCAAGCTTTTCCATCCCCAAATGCAGCAAGTTTCCGTGTTTTGCCAGTTGAACTCCAGCCACCCAAAGCTCTTCTATTGCAGGCCATGCCTACACAAGACAGGCAATCTCAATCCACGTCATCACATATCACAAGGTCCCCTGATCTGATACATAAAACCTCAGAGCTGGCAGAAGACACTCTATACGAAGACTCAGTATACTATCCTATGACGCTCCCTTGTACAGAATGCCAGTCATCATCAGATCTTACGGAACAAAATAGTCCAGCTGAAAGCCAGCAATTTTCAGAAATAATATACCAAGACATTCTATCTGAAGTCATGGAATTGACTCAAGAGTGGAAATGCCCATCAAGGCCTTCCTCAGACCATGGAAGCAAACATGGAAAATCCTCACGGAGTAGCTCCTTAGGCCTGCAAACAAAACATGGGAAATACCCAAGAAAGAAATCCCTAGACCAAAAAGTCAGAGCTTTGCTGTTCTCAAAGAAGCATTTCACAGGTAAGAAATCCCAATATAGTCAAACCTCAGAAGAGTTCCTAGATCAGCAGGCCAGAGGAGAGGGATCTCCAAAGCAACTATCCAAAGACAAAGAAAATAAGGATCAGCCAGCTAAAAAGAACTCCCCAAAGAAGCAAACTCATAGCCAACAAGCTGAAGAGGAGAAATCCCCACAACGACAGCCCAAAATTTGTCAAGCTGAAGGACCACAAACTCAAGAGGAAAATATTCCAAAGCGGCCATACCAAGATGCTGAATACAGAGGAGAGCAATCTCCACGCTGGTCAACCTCAGACTCACAATATTTTGTACAGCAGTCCCAAAATTGGAGAAGTCAAGACTGGAGAAACAAAGACTGGAAAGCACAAGAACGGCAATTTGAAATGCATAACTTCCTACACTGTGAATCCCAAGATCTATTGAAGAAGAAAGCCCTAAACCAGAGCAGTGCAATCCAACAAGACTTAAGCTGGCAACTTCAAGACAAGCAGTTCCAGGAGGACCAAATGATGCTAAGAAATGATATGCAAATGGTCAATATGCTGACATCAGACATCAAGCTAGCAAGCATGGACTGTAGAGACCAAAACCCAATAGACACTCAGTCAGAAAATGCAGAACCAGACTATCATCCTTCTTCTAGCCAAAGTGTTGTACAAGACACATATTTAACTTATTTAACTAGTATGGATTCAGAACGAGAGGTCCAACAAAACTCTTCAGTTTGCTCAGGGTCAACCAAAGATGATCTGAACACACATTCTACCTCCTGTTCTCTAAAAGATGATCAACAGCAATATGAAGACTCTGAGTAGCATGCAGAATGACCTTAACAATGGAAACAAGTGAAGGAGAAACACGAGTCTTCCATAAACTTATGTTCTCAACCATGGTTGCTACCTCACGCCCTAAAAGATGGTGGGTATGCAAAACCCTCCAAGGATCCAGTCTCAGTCAAAGTCCAGTGACAAAAAACTAAATGCTAACATGGTGGCAGAACTTTGGTTGGGGTAAAGGAATAAATCATACATGAACTTTCTGTCATCAAATACAGCGTTTCCATTTATGATCGGCAATTCATTTTACAGCCTACTGTTTCATTAACATATTTTCTATGGTGTTATTACTTTTGCTCCCTTCTTTATATGATAGCAGGGGTTCAGCAAGTGAGCTAAGAAGAAATGTATCTAGGTTCTGTAAGAATTCAAGAACCAAAAAAGCCTGTGAGAAAAACATTCCATTGTTACCCTCCTGTTTCTATGCTAGCTCCAGTCCTGCCATTGACCCTCCCTCTCTCCCTAGATCTCAGCTGAGGGGAGACACTAGGTTTGTGCAGCACATAGGGTGATGATGAGGACAAAGACAAATAGCTGAGAGGCAAAAGTGCAAAACACACCTACAGACAGGAAAGGAGTTGAGCAAGCAAAGAACTGCGGAATGAGCTATGAGGTATTAGGTGCTGCCTTTCTGTCTCCCGGCCTCCACTCCCTATGCCTCATTCCCCAACCTTTATGATCTCATCTTTTGTAGTAAAAAAAAATATTGTGTTCTCAAAACCTGCTATTCATGCTTCATCCCCCAAACCCTTTTAAATCCTTTTTTTCCCCCAGTCATCTCTTTCGAAACAATCATCCCTGAATTAATTAATGATTAATTTGCTGCCTGCTTACTATTCAACACCAGAGACACTGCCAGTTTCCAGAATTTTCTCTTAGGCTTTCTTTGTGAATTGTATCACGTTGACCTCCCAGAAGTGGGCAGGGAGATGCCTGGCCGTGCATGCTTCCCTGTGGGGACACGGCCATTCTGGAGCAGACCCCTCACCATCCTGGCACTGAACTCAGCACTTTTGATTTTAACTTTTGTCAAATCTGTTTCTTTTTTCTTTGTTTTCAAAGAGGTAGACACAGATATATTCCAGGAGCTTTTCCTCCTGTTCCTGTCTGTACATAAGATTTATTAATTTATTTATGAGATTTATTACTTTATTAATTTTGATGTATGTAAGAACTTTTCTGAATATTCTTCTAACAAAGGAAATGAGTGCAAATGTATATTCTGTGTACTTTTTATTTTCAAGCAATGTAACACTTTCCTTTTTTTTTTCATTTTGAACTCACTCAAAATCATGGACTCACTCAAAATCCTACCTCCCAAAACTGCAAAGGCAGCCCCTGTCACCCTTCACCCAGCATCCCCCAGGGGCACTGCTTTATATAGCAATTGCACTACATCAGAAGCAGGAAAGTAACACTGGTACATTAATCAGACAGCAGATTTTATTCTATTTTTACCATTTGTTGTCCTACATTTGTATCAGTAACATGCAGCTCTAAGCAGTTATATCTTACGCATGTGTTTGTGCATTCATCATTGACTGATGATATAAAACCTGCATCACCACAAAAACTCCTTTCATATCACTTCTTTAACATCCCATCCCCCAACCCTACCTCTGTCCATAGCATGTACTAATCTATTGTTCATCTCCACTGTTCTGCCATTTTGAGAATATTGTATGAATGGAATCATACAATAATCAATCTCTTGAGATTACCTTTTCCTGCAAAGAACACTGTCCCTGAGATTTACCTATTGTATCAATAGGTTTTTTTCTTTGTAATTACTGAGTAGCAATCCATAGTATGAACACATCAAAAATGTTAATCATTTGATTATTGAAAGCTTAATCATTTATTGAAAGACATGCATCTGGGCATAGTGGTGAATGCCTGAAATCCCAGAACTCTGGAGGCTTGAGGAAAAAGTATCTACAGGAGTTTGAGGCCAACCTGGGCTATATAAGTGAGTTCAAGACCAACATGCACTAAACCTTATCTCAAAAAAATAAGAGGAAGAAGAAGAGGAGAAGGAGAAGGAGGAATAGGTTTTTCTATTACAAATAAAAATGGTAGAAACGTATAGGTTTTCATGTGAAAATATGGCTTCCTTTCTCTGATAAAAAAGCTAAAGAATGCCACTGTTGAGTTGTACAGTGTTATGGCTTGGACCTAGATGGCCCCCAAAGCCTCATGCAGTCACAGATGGTGCCTTTTCAGAGATGGCAGGATCAAGAGCTTATGACTGACTCATGATACAATGCTAGGATTAAGGGTCCTAGGATTAAGGGTGAATGATTGCTAACTCAGCCCATGATTGGCTTGGCACTGCCCTAATCCTGGTAGCCTAGACAGAATACAAAATGGCAGAAAAAAGGCTGCTAAGGTCTCTTTATTTTCTTTGCTACCTTCTGTTTGCCATGAACTGTTTCCTCTCTGCAATACCTGTCTGCCATGCCAGCCCACCTTAAAGCCAGCAAATTATGGACTAACGCCTCTAATAGTTGCAAGACAAATAAACCTTTCCTCATTTAATTTTGAATGTAGGGGATTTTGTCTCAGCAATGAGAAAGGTAAGACAGAACTTGGTACTAAGAAATGGGGTCACTGCTGTGACTATTCCTGATCATGTGGTTCAACAGCCTCTGGGACTGGCTTCTGGGAAGAGTTAGAAACGATTGGATTCGGTACTTCCAGCTGTAAAAGTAGACCTTGAATGCCCTAGGCCATGCTTGAGGGGAGATTCTAGTCAGCATTCAGAAGCCCAGAAGGCTGACAGAAATCCTGCCATCAAAAACCAGGCTTAGGAGGTTTCTGCTGGGAAGATGGACTGCACTGGCTGTTGGATTCCATACAATGTGTGTTAGAGCCTGGTAGAAAGTATGTGTGTATTTTGCTTGTGTCCAGAGACTTTGCCTGAGACTGAGATTAAGGACAGTAGACTAATCTGACAGGAGAAACCTGAAAGGAAACTAATGCTGAAGTGGTGGCGTGACTACTGTTGGGGGCTTTTAGCCAGATTTATGTTGAGAATCAAGAGCAAAGAGCACACAGAATGATTCAAAATGTGAGTCTGGCCAGAAGGGAAAGTCCAGTAAAGTTGCACGTTGCAAAGACAGAACAAGGAGAAACTAGTCACTGAAAAGACTAGCAAGAAAAAGCCAAGTATTTCAGAAGACAATGGAAAAGATGGCCTGAAGACATCACAAGAAACAGCAGGACTCCAGTCTTTACAGTCTCAGCGTTACAAAGGACTTTGTTTTGAAAAAGAAAACCCCAAAGCACCATGTTCCAAAATGGGAGCAGCCATTTGTGCCTTGGGATTAGGTTCAGAGTTCTCAGCAACCCAAGCACTGGACTCCTGAGCATCATTTGGCCTCTAGCCCAGAAGATGGCTTGTGAATATTTCCATGTTGCACCAAACTAATGATAAATTATCAGTGGAAGGCTGGGAATCAAGAAATAAGCAATTTTTATTCAGCTAGCTGGGTGATATGGTCAGATCTCCACCATGACACACATCCACATAGTCTTTGTTATCCAGAAATTTTTATAACTTCCAAATAATGGTGATAACCTTATCACCTTTCTGGGAATTTGCAAGTTCCTCAGTTACCATGGCAACCCTATCATTGTACTTAAAAGTCTCAGGTGAGTCTCCTGAACATCTGGGTCCTTAATCAACCAGAATATAGACAAGGGTTACCTTGACCACCATTTGTCTTTTTTATGGTTTTATGACTAGTAGGGATGGAGATTCTCAGGAATGTAGGACAGAGTTCACTTAAAGGATAATGACAAACTAAAATGGAGTCTAAGAAATTGCCTCCACATCCATACACAGGGGAGCAACTGAGGAGCCAAAGCCTCAGTAGGAATCCTTGTTTGAGGGATTTAGGGAAGCTCTGGGTGGTCCAAGGAGAAGGCCACAGAATGCACAGTGGCTTAAGGTCCAGTAGCATCTACCAGTGTCCTCTAACAGACTCTGTTAGAGGATCTGTGTCTAGATATCCCCCCAGAGCCTCATGGTGTCATCAGTGGGCTTTTGAGAGGTGACTGGATCCACAGTGTGATGCTAAGATCAAGAGTGTGTAAGATTAGTAAATCAGTCCACTGATTGGTTTGTCACCGCCATAATCCTGGTAGTCTGGATAAGACCAAAGGCCCACAAAGACGCCATTAAGGCCCTGCATTCTGCCTGCCACAATCTGTTCTCCTTTGCCAAGCTACCAGGCATTGGAGCCAGCTATTCGTTGATTGAAACCTCTAAAAACTATATGCTGAATAAGCCTTTTGCTGTGGGGTTCAAGTATTTTCTCTCAGCAATGAGAAAAGTAATTAAGAATTTGGTACCAGGGAAGTAGAGTTGTTGCTGTGATTATATCTGACCATGTGGTTCAGAATCCTTTGGGAATTGCTGTGGGAAGATTTTTGAAAAATTTAGAGATGTTGGCTGGAAAAGTGTAGCTGAAATGCCTGAAGCTGTGCTCATTGGGAATTCCAGGCCGAGCCCAGAAAACCAGGAATCTGGTAAGACCAGTGTGAAGACGTTTGTGCTAGGAAGAGTTATAACATAGGCTGCTGAACTCCAGATGGTGTGTTTTATGCCTTGGAAGAAAGTTTGTCTGCATTTTGCTGATGTCCAGAGACTTTGTCTGAGACTGACATTACTAGCAGCAGACTAATTAATCTGGCAGGAGAAATTTCAAGGCATTTTAATGTTGAGTTGGTGGCATGCCTACTGTTGTGGCTTTTAGCCAAATTTGTGTTGAGAATCAAGAGCAAAAAAAACCCCAGAAGTATGATTTAAAAGTGATTTGAGTTTGGCTAGAAAGGAAGCTCCAGTAAAACTGTGGGCTGCAAAGACCGAACAGAGTAGACCATGATTGTTGAGAAGGAAAAAGAGAATATAAAAATGAGTACATAATAAGAAGCAGCAAGAATCTACCCTTCACAGCTCCTGGCACCGTATTTCAGAATGGCAGCATCATAGGGAAGTTGTTCCTTGAGATTTACTTCATAGGCACTTGATCCCTACAGAGAAAAGAAAATGTAGCCTGGCTACTGCTCCAGCTGGTAGCAGACCTTGGTATTATCCATGCCGTGCTGGTTTTAGGTGCATGCAGAATGCATGAATTGTGGGATCAGAAAGATTTTCCCCCAGATTTCAGAAGAAGGTCTGGAAAGCCAAGCAGTGTGAGATGGTAGAGTGTGAAGCTGTGAGTGTAGC